CAGATCCAAATCCAAGAAATATAAAGAGCCAATTGTTCTCTCCAGCAGTCGGAACAGCCTGTAGCTCTTTACAAGCTCTGTGCTCTTTCCTCTTGAAGGCTTTGCTCCTCCTGCTTCCTGTCTGCACTTACCTCTCTTCCACAGGATTATAGTCACTCATCCTTTAAGATTCAGTTCAGTGATTACTTCTTTCTGGAAGCCTCTTCTGTGTCCCATAGTACCAGTGTTTACTTCTAATATTTCATGATTGTTGGACAATGGATCTTCCTTACCAATTCTGCAGTGAGTTTCTGGAAAGCAGGAATTATATCGTATTCATCTTCATGTCCCATGCTTCTAGCAAATTGGTTGACAAGTGGTAGGCACTTGGATATTGTTTGAGTAGATGAGTGTGTGAACAAAAAGTTTAGTAACAGAAGCTTCTATGTAAGTAGAAGTTTCAAATAGAGACTCAATGATTAATCAGCGATTTTTGCTTTCTACAGATATTGGTATCAACTTGACTGACCCTGTGTTCAGAGGAATTTATAGGGGGGTTCAAAAGCATCAAGGTAAGTGTTTCCTTTATTAAGGCAAATAGTTTCTCCTTGAAGACAAATTTTCTGCCTTAGGAGATCTTGAAAAGCATAATCCAAGCTGGGCCTTGTGGCTCACACCTGTAATCCCAGCACTTTGGGAGTCTGAGGTGGGAGGATTGCCTGAGCACAGGAGTTCAAGACCATCTGGGCAACATAATCCACTCTTAAAATTGAAATAATAAAGAACCCATGGCCAGGGGCCGTGGCTCACGCCTATAATCTCAGCACTTTGGGGGGCCAAGGTGGGCGGATCACCTGAGGTGAGGAGTTCAAGACTAGCCTGGCCAACATGGTGAAACTCCATCTCTACTAAAAACACAAAAAAATTAGCCAGGCGTGGTGGTGTGTGCCTGTAATCCCAGCTACTTGGGAGGCTGAGGCAAGAGAATTGCTTGAACCTGGAGGCAGAGGTTACAGTGAGCTGAGACCATGCACTTCAACCTGGGCAAAAAGAATGAAATTCTGCCTCAAAGGAAAAAAAAAAAAAAAAAAAAAAAGAACTCATTATGTATCTTGAATGAAACTAAACAAAGTGAAACACGTATATTGATAAACCATGATCATGAACATTTATAATACAGTTTAATCAAGGTCTTCTTACCTGTAGAAGTTTGTAGTTTCGAGTATAAAACTTCAAATTGCCATTTGCCCAAAAGCTAAAAAAAAAAGTCAAATTGTTGTCTCCCTGGTTTTCTTCATGTGGAGTTTCTCTTTTACAGATGACTTACAGGATGTAATAGGGAGAGCTGTTGAGATTGGTGTTAAAAAGGTAACATCTGTTTTGTTATTCTTGAGATTGTTTAAATTTATTTTTTAACTAAATTTTAGTTAAAATTTTGCAAAGTAGAAGGGAAGAAAACAATGCCATATTTGGGGTACATATTGTCTACTTGTGATATTAGAAAGTTAATTGAAATAAAATATCAAAATATTCTGTTGATAGCAATTTAAGTTACACAGACCTCATGTATAGTTCTTATATATGATAAATGGCAAAACCTCTTTGAAAAAAAAATTTTTAAACCTATGTGAATTACCAGACTTCTTAAGAGGCCACTTTTAATCAATTTTATAACATAACTTAGCATTTGTCAGAATTAAGTAATAGTCAAAAAGACATGTATCTGACACCAAGTGTGGCTATTTATAGTTAGGGTATACCATTTCAAATAACAGAGATAATACTTTAATTTTTACAGTAATAAAATGCCTCTTTTTTTTTTTTAAGAGAGTTCTAGTAAGCAAATAAATAGATATTTCTTTAAATTAGCTTTAAAACAGGGAGCTAGCCCACATATACACATAAGAAATAAGGTTGAATTCCATATTGTGCTATCAGGACACTTGGTAGCCACTGCCTCCAAGTTGAATAATCTGTTTTTGGAAAGTGACATTGGTGGCTAAATAAGTTCTGCAGTCTCCAATTCTAAACTTTTATTTGTTGTTATTCACAAATAATATGAAAAGATAGAAGTTACATTCATTTCTCATTATGTAGTCACTCTGCTTGGAAAATCACTTTAAACAGTGCTTTTCTGCAAACTCTGAAATACTAAGTTCCTAAATTTTCATGTTTCAGCCATGAGTAATTTAATCTTAATGTTTATTCACACACACACACACACACACACACACACTCTCTCTCTCTCTCTCTCTCTCTCTCTCTCTCTCTCTCTCTCTTAGGAATGACAGAGCTGAAGTGATTTTTCCTAGGGCATGATTCCAAACTGAAATTTAAGTCAATACCTTGCATTTATGTTGTAGTAGTTAAGAGCATAGTTAAGGCGTGACAAACCTGGTATCCAGCCCCTGTTTCATTTTTCTTAGCTTTATAACCTGGGGTATTTTATCTCACTAGACTTCAGTTTTCTCATCTGTAAAATGAGAATGATAATAGTATTTGATTAAGAGAGTTGTTACGAAGGCTAAATAAAATATTCAGTGTAAAGCATTTGGTATTATACCTGGCATAAAAGAAACAACCTACATTATGTGTATGATGGAAGCCACCACCCTGAGATCATCATCATCGTTATCATCTTATACACTGGGAGAGGAGATGATGCCCTCTAGTCTTGCCATTCATTGCCTATTTAGAAAAGTTACAGGTAAAATAAAAAGTAGTCTTGGTTAGTATTTTACATAATTTAAATACAGGATATAGGCATTTGTTCTAGTATTAAAGTTTTAGGTATGTTAGTAACAAAGTTTTCCCAATATTTTTATTAATGTCTTTTTTTTTTTTTTTTTTGAGACAGAGTGTCGCTCTGTCACCGAGGCTGGAGTGCAGTGGCACGATCTCAGCTTACTGCAACCTCTGCCTCCTGGGTTTAAGCGATTCTCCTGCCTCAGCCTCCCAAGTAACTGGGACTACAGGGTCCCGCCACCACACCCAGCTAATTTTTGTATTTTTAGTAGAGATGGGGTTTTGCCGTGTTAGCCAAGCTGGTCTCAAACTCCTGACCGTAGGTGATCTGCCTGTCTTGGCCTCCCAAAATGCTGGGATTATAGGCGTGAGCCACCATGCCTTGCCTTATATCTTATGTTTTACAGACAGTCAAGGATGTAATTATGGCAATATGTTTCCTGAATAGAAACTCAGTGTCTAATCATATTAAAGGTTTAAATAGCTATATGAAAACATCTGTTTATCATTTGCAATTCTATCTTTGTTTTGTGTTTTCTTCCTAAGTTGTACCTAGAATGAATTCTTCATTTTTGTTAAGACTCTTGAAGTATGCTTTACAAAAATATATATCATTGTGCTTGAATCACATCTTTAGAAGAACATGCCCCTTAAACAGCACTGCTTCAGTGCTCTATCAACACATAGCTCTTCAGTGACATTTTCATTTTAACAGATTAGGAAAGATGGCACTCTAATTACAGGGTGGACCCTAATGGTTGTCTGTGTAGAAGTGTGCTTATTTGCCAAAAGCCATACATTTTCTTACAGATAATTCATTAGTATGCATTAACTCATTGATTTTCAAACCTTTTGCGCTCATTATTGAGGACCCTCAAAGAGCTTTTGTTTCTGTGAGCCTTATCTACTGATATATACTATACTAAAACTTAAAAACTTTAAATATTTATTAATTTATTTTAAAATAACAAGAAATGGCCGGGCGCAGTGGCTCATGCCTATAATCTCAGCACTTTGGGACGCTGAGGCAGGTGGATCACGAGGTCAAGAGATTGAGACCATCCTGGTCAACATGGTGAAACCCTGTCTCTACTAAAAATACAAAAATTAGCTGGGCATGGTGGCGTGCACCTGTAGTCCCAGCTACTTGGGAGTCTGAGGCAGGAGAATCACTTGAACCCAGGAGGCGGAGGTTGTGGTGAGCCGAGATCGCGCCATGGCACTCCAGCCTGGGTAACAAGAGTGAGACTCCGTCTCAAAAAAAAATAAAATAAAATAAAATAACAAGAAACTACTTGATAACATAAATGGAATATTTTTATGAAAAATAAGTATATTCCAGAACAAAAACAATTTAACAACGTGAGTATAATTTGTATGTTTTTTCAAATCTCTAATGGACTAGGTTAATAGAAGCCTGCTGATTTTTTTTTTTTTTTTTTGGGATGGAGTCTGACTCCATCCCCCAGGCTGAGTGCAGTGGTGCGATCTTGGCTCACTGCAACCTCTGCCTCCCGAGTTCAAGCAATTCTCTGCCTTAGCCTCCTGAGTAGCTGGGATTACAGGCGCCTGCCACCATGCCTGGCTAATTTTTGTAGTTTTAGTAGAGACGGGGTTTCACCATCTTGGCCAGGCTGGTCTTGAACTCCTAACCTTGCGATTCACCCTCCTCGGCCTCCCAAAGTGCTGGGATTACAGGTGTGAGCCACCACGTCCAGCCAGCCTGCTGAATTTTCATATCTTATTCTGTATTTAGTCTGTGGTGGTATCACATATTGTGTAGCTTCTTGAATACCTGTGGACACTTGCAATAGAGTGAGGGTGAAAAAGAAAGTGTCTTATTATTATTATGAAAATAGTTTTGACTTCATATATGTACTGGGAGTTACCAGACTATACTTGGAGAACTGTTTAGTCAGTCAGCACTATTGAATCACTGGTTTTATTATTCACTCTTTCCTAACACCTGATCTCTGTCCTCAAAGAACTACTTGTCTAGTAGGAAAGATAGACATTGTAAATACATTTTAACAGAGTCTAGTGATGGAATCTATACCTCTACATGCACACACACCTACATACATACATCCCTGAGATGTAGTCGGGTACCACTCTGCATAGGAGGTAATCTCCCAGCTGAATTTTAAACAGAGGGTAGGTGTGTGACAGTCACAGAGGAAAGAGCATTCTGGAATAAGGAAGTGGTAGGAAGGCATGTTTAGGAAACTGTTGTTGATGCCCTATTAAAGTCAGCTTATTTCTTTCTATTTCAGTTTATGATTACAGGTGGAAACCTACAAGACAGTAAAGATGCACTGCATTTGGCACAAACAAATGGTATCTTCATATTACTTTTACCAAAAAAAATAGGAATTAAGTAATTTTGAAGAAGTCTTTCTGAAAACTGCCTCAGGTACAATACAATGGATCAAGACTGGTGGAAACAGCAGGAAAATTGACTTTCAATGGGACATGATTAAGATGATGAAATTCAAAGTACTCACTGGTATATCAGATGTTTATAAAACCATTTCATAGTACTAAACAAAGATTATTTTAAGATTTCAGTTAATGAGAATAAAGTTCTCCAGGTACACAATATAACCTCAGGTGTTTTTGATGTGGAATTCATGTGTGTGTTTTAACGTGTTTAAAATACAAGTTGCTTTTTATTTACTGTTTTTTAACTTAAGCTGTGAAGGGTCATTTAATTAAATTTTTACTAGGTGGACCAGGTACTGTTCAGGGTACCAGGAATGCAAATAATAGTGCTGTGTGAATCCCTCATATGCTCGCTTTATGTTCATACATTTTGCATTTGTTTAAAATCCTAAAGTTTTAGGAATGATTGTTAAAGGATTCCTAGTTATGTAAAACCTCTTTTATCTAGCATTCACTTTTTTAATTTTTTTTTTTGAGACGGAGTCTTGCTCTTGTTGCCCAGGCTGGAGTACAGTGGTATGATCTCGGCTCACTGCAACCTCCACCTCCTGGATTCAAGCAGTTCTCTGCCTCAGCCTCCCGAGTAACTGGGATTACAGGCGCCCACCACCACACCCGGCTAATTTTTATACTTTTAGTAGAAATGGGGTTTCACCATCTTGGCCAGGCTGGTCTTGAACTCCTGACCTTATGATCCACCCTCTTTGGCCTCCCAAAGTGCTGGGATTACAGGTGTGAGCCACCGCGCTGGCTAACGTCTTTTGCATATCTTATGTGCTAGTCACCGAGAAATTAAACATTCTACGTAATTTTTAAATTTTGTAATTTAAGATACTGTATGTTTCCCTTATGTTTGAAAACTTATTAAAAGCTATATTTTTGTGGAAATCTCTCCAAAATGCACACTTCTCTTTAGGATCCATTGACACTTTTTCTTAGAGATTAAAGATAGAATATCTTCCAGGGAGTTTTTGAGATATAAGAACATTTTATCCTTACTTTTTATCCCCAAACTTCTATGCTTTTTAAAGTTCTCCCACCTCCATTATCAGCCCTTTTCCGCTCCTTTCCATGTAACTTGTGTTCTTATAGCTTAAAAAGTGCTGCTTCCTTTGTTTGTAAATGTTTGTAAACATCTGCATGAGAGCCCCGGGAAGGCTTGATACCTCTCCCAAGGTTCAGGCTCAGCTAAGCCATTCAGAAAGTGTTTTTGACTCCCCATTTGTATTCTATATAAGTAAAGCTGTCAGAGTATCCTCCAATGAGTGAACCTCATTCTTTTTATTTATTTATTTTTTTGAAGACAGGGTTTCACCATGTTGGTCAGGATGGTCTTGATAACTTGACCTCATGATCCGCTCACATCAGCCTCCCAAAATGTTGGGATTACAGGCATGAGCCACCTCACCTGGCCCTCATTCTTTTATTAGAAAAACAAATCCCCCTTTCCACCTCTTTAAATCACCCCCACTATTAACCTTTTTAAGGGAATACATTTTTATTGCTATATTAAATACATAAATCAATAATGGAATAATTGGTGTTAAACAAAAATATACAAATCAAGATAGTCACAGCACTGGTGAATATAAAAGACAAAATTAGTGCTGGACATGATGGCTCAGGCCTGTAATACCAGCACTTTGGGAGGTGGATCGCTTGAGCTCAGGAGATCAAGACCAGCCTGGGCAATGTAGTGAAACCTTGTCTCAACAACAACAAAAAAAACAATTTAAAGTAGCCAGGCATGGTGGCATGTGTCTAGTCCCAGCTACTTAGGATGCTGAGGTGGGAGAATCACCGGAGACCAGGAGGTCAAGGCTGCAGTGATAGCACCACTGCACTCCAGCCTGGTTGACACAGTGGGACCTTGTCTCAAAAAAAAAATGTTCACTTTGCATTCTACAGCCCTAAATGCCAAGCTTTAGAAAAAGTTGAATTAATTATTTTATTAATACATTAAAGCAATTTTCATATTCATATCCTACTCTGTTTAGGTATTCCAGAAATTGTCATATAGTTAACATAATGCAGTTCTTATCATTTGAATAACTTATTGCCATTGTTGAAAACCAGTTGAAATTACTTGATATCCTCTAAATATCATAATAAATATAAATATAAGAAAATACTTTGAAAATAATCCTAAGACATTATTATGTGTTAGATCTGTTTTTCAGTACCGTTGGATGTCATCCTACAAGATGTGGTGAATTTGAAAAGAATAACCCTGATCTTTACTTAAAGGAGTTGCTAAATCTTGCCGAAAGCAATAAAGGGAAAGTTGTGGCAATAGGAGAATGTGGACTTGGTGAGTGCCAGCCTGGCCTCTTAGAATGACTTTGTTTGAAATTAAATAATTTTGTTGTGTATGTTATGAATAATTATTCTTTTCTATCTTTTTAAAGATTTTGACCGACTACAGTTTTGTCCCAAAGATACTCAACTCAAGTAAGGAAATTTGTTGACTTTACAAATTTTTGTAACATCTCGAGTGATTTTAAAGTAACTTTTATCAGTTGAGACTATAGTTGGATTAAGCATCAACACACGTTTGTTTTTCCCTTTGTGTATCAGAAGTTAAGTGAAACAAATTCCATGCATACCTACGTGTAATTCAAAGGGATGGAAGCATGTCATTTTCTGGTTGATGAACCACTTAATTTTATTTTAATGGTAGAAATAAAGAATGAGTTTTACTTGACTTTACATTTTTTGTTTGTTTAACAGATGCATTGATACATGAACAGTTCCAGTGGAATGAATTAAAGTATTTTGGGGAATGTGATTGTTTTGTTTTGTCTTTTGAGACAGAGTCTCTCTCCGTCACCCAGGCTGGAGTGCAGTGGTGTGATCTCAGCTCACTGCAACCTCCATCTCCTGGGTTCAAACAAGTCTCGTGCTTCAGCCTCCCGAGTAGTTGTTTTTAGTAAAGATAGGGTTTCACCATGTTGGTCAGGCTGGTCTCAAACTCCTGACCTCAAGTGACCCACCCACCTCGGCCTCCCAAATTGGGGGATATGATTTAACAGCAAAGGATATTAAAAGTGTGTTACAAGCCAGGCACAGCAGCCTTTACCCGTAGTCACAGCTGTTTGAGAGGCTGAGGCAGGAGAATTGCTTGAACTCCAGACAAGCCTGAGCAATATAAGGAGACTCTGTCTCTAAAAAAAAAAACAACAAAAAACCCACAAAAGTATTATAGGACCAATCACCAAAGCTAGAAAAGCATATTTTACTCTTGCTGGGTGTTGAATATTGTTAGTTTGGAACTGCGAGATTCCTTTAATAGGAGCCATGTTGGGTGGTGGCTTCTGAGAAAACTCCAAAGCTCACCACCCTGTAGGACTTCCTATAACCCCTTGCCAGTAGCTAAATTTGGAGCTCCTGTCATTATACTAGTGAGTGAGTGTTATAAATTGAACAGAAAACTTAGGTCACAGTCTGAATTTAAAACGTAAGCACTTTGTCAAATTTCAAAAACATCTTAATTATGAAGATGATTAAACATTAGACTGAGCTTCTATATGGGGTTAATTTAGTTATTTATCCATTCAGCAAATATTTATGGAGCACTATGTGTCAGCCACTGCTGAGAACTCATAGTATGCAGAAATTTGAGTAAGGTATATCTATCCCTAGAGACCTTTAAGAATAAACAATCCTCTGTCCTCCTTAGTTTCTTATACACAAAGAAGAATTAGGATCAGATTCTCTCTAAGATACTATCCAGATAGATATAATACTATCTCTATTAAGATACTATCATAATATTTAATAATGAATAATTTTGTCATGTGGTGTATGAGCATATGATTAAACCAGTGACTTGATGGCCTGAAGGGATTTTTTGAATTACACATGCTAAAAGTGTACTTCCTCTCCCTTCCCTCCCTGCTCCCCACAAGTGAGATTCTGATATGTCCCCACTGGTTGAAAATCACTGGGTGAGGAGCAGATTTTCTAGTAGAGTCTGTCATACCCTAGACTTCAAGCTCCAGAGTTCTGGAGTGTGAAGATGTAGCACCAAGTAGAATAGGATGGGTTAGAGTAATGCTCTGTGGATACATACTCTCTCTTTCAGGTCACTCATTTATACATCCCTTTTAGAACTGTTTAGTTTGTTGTATATTATTTGCTGTGTCTTTTAGGGACATTCATGTGGTTAATAGCAGGGTTACTAAAACCCTATACCTCTGTCAAATATTATGTAGGCCAGCTCACTTAACTTTAAAAGTTCTCATGTTCACATTGAAATAGAAAAACAGTTCTCTTTAATAGTTCTTTAGGTTAAGCTCACAGAGCATATTCCTCAACTTTAATGTCTAGTTTTGGCCAGGATGAGCCTTGTAAGTCTAATAGACTGTGTGTTATGACGAGCAAGGGCAGTGGCAGAGTCCCCAAGGTTTTTTGCCCATACGACTTTTCATTTAAAATGAGTTAGAACTGATTCTAAAATGCAACTTGAATACTTTAAACCTCGTTTTAGGGTTAATTGAAAACATTGGCAGTATCAGTTTAACTGTTCTGAAGATTATTCACCATCATCAGAGCATGTTTGAAATAGCGTCTGATCTTAGAATATGCATATCACAGCTTGTGCTTCAACTCACTTGCCAAGTGTTAATTGCTAATAGAGAGGTTCTTTCATTCAGTAAATGATTCCTGAGTGCCTCCTCAACATGATACAAAGAAGAATAAGACTTTATCCTTAATGCCTCTGTAGACGAGAGGACATAAATAATGAAAATAGGTTGGAACTACTGTCACTGAAGTGTGTGAACAGCAGAGGGAAGGACGGACTTTCTGGGGGAGGATTGAAGGTGACAGCAGGTGACGTTGGCTTCTTCCAGAGTGGATAAGCTACTGACAAACTAATGTAGGAGGAAATTTTGATAAGATAGAGAGTTCTACTTGAGATTTAAAAATTTTTAATAATAAAACATCAAATGACTTGGTTAAAAAAAACGGCCGGGTGTGGTGGCTCACACCTGTAATCCCAGCACTTTGCGAGGCCAAGGCTGGCAGATCACCTGAGATCAGGAGTTCAAGACCAGCCTGGCAACGTGGTGAAACCCTTTCTCTACTTAAAATACAAAAATTAGCTGGGCGTGGTGGTGGGTGCCTGTAATCCAAGCTACTCGGGAGGCTGAGGCAGGAGAATTGCTTGAACTGGGGAGGTGGAGGTTGCAGTGAGCCAAGATCGTGCCATTGCACTCCAGCCTGGGCAACAAAGCAAGACCATCTCAAAAAAAAAAAAAAAAAAAAAAAAAAATATACACACACACACACACACACACACACACACACTAGTAACAATCACATTTTGATTGTTGTTAAGGAAACAGATCCCACATCCTCTGCCCCTCACTCCTCTTCTCCTAGTGTGTACTCACAGCATGCAAACTGTTCTGTGTACACAGCACTCCACTTGTTTCAGCACTTACCGTGTTGTACAGAAATTGGTTTTAGGCTATCCCTTCCTCCCCACAACAGTCTAGTATCTTTGAGTTCCTCAGAGGCACACACCAAGTCTTGCTCATGTTATAGCTCCATAGCACTTAGCACAGTACTCTGAGCACATGGTTATTTTTAGTAGAGATGGGGTTTTACCACTCGTTTCAAACTACAGACCTAAAGTGATCTGCCTGCCTCGGCCTCCCTAAATGCTAGGATTACAGGTGTGAGCCACCACGCCCAGCCATGATTTGTTTTTAAGTAAAAATGTAGTCAGAAAAAAGGAGATGTATGAGAAAAGAAAAATAGAAAATTAGGAGGCAAGACAGAAAAATTAATATACAATAGATGTAGTGTCTGAAAAATGATGGTAAGTGAAGGCAGTATCTATAACCCTGTTTAAAAGGATGAGCTTTGGAATCAGCAGATCTTTGGGTGAGATTTATAATTGTCCTTGGTGTCAGTTTGCCCCTTTGTACATCCCCTTTAAAATAAGGAGATTACTGCCTACCTTTCTTAACACAAGGTGCATAAGGCCCATACTGGCATGAGTGGTACAGAGTATGTATGCAATCATGGCTGTTGTTACATTATTCATACTAGAAATATTACCACCCTAAAGGAAGATGCTAGCTATTGTTTTTGTTTGGAACTTTTAAAAGTTTTTAATATTTTTTTCTTGTTTTAGCACCCAGACCTTTTCTGGAAAAAGTATTTTTTAAAGACTACGAGAAGCAAAGAGTAAAGACAAGGAAAAGGCCTGATCTAGTTATGGAAAGTTTATCCGTTAAGCCATACCATGTATTTTCAATTTCCTGGCCTTATGCTACACTTCTTTCCTTGTTGTAATTTAGAGCTCTGTTCTCTTGGGTAGGTGAATTTGTTTTGGGCATTTTTCTTAGGGCTTTAAAATGTTAATACTGTGCAGGTCTTAAAAACAACAAGAAGATTTAAAGTAATCCTTTGGGAACTTAGGGGACCGTAGAGATGAGCAATTGGAGCCATGTTGCCATCAAGCAGCTTACAGAGGAGGGATTACTACCTGTGTTGAGGTATACCCATGTAACTCACTGGGCTTTTTGGATTTGCCTTGATCCTAATTAATAACAACTGCTGCTCTGAAGCTGAACTCTTCCAGCTCTTGTCCTTAGACAGTTAAACCTCAACTGTAAGAAGCAGTAATACAATCAGAAGCTTCACTAAGATGAACAAAATCTAACTCAAGTGGAAAATGATTTTCATTTATGAACTTTACAAAAAAAGTCAATGAGTAAAACAGACTGAGAAGTCTCTTAATAGATGCCAATTCCTACCCTGTAACTTGTGCTGTTTTTTCTAGTTACCATGTGGGTTTTTCTTCTCTAAAGATAATAGTCGTTTATTGTTCAGAACTAATTATCCTCAATTTGTATCATTAGGAATAATTTTTTTTTTTTACATGGCTTCCTTATGATACCTAGCTAGTATGAATTCAGGGACTTTTCTTTTCTTGAATTATGTAAAATTCTGGGAGTCCATTGCTTGGGCTTCTGTTTTCCCTTTTTTTTTTGGAGACAGGGTCTCACTCTGTCATCCAACCTGCTGGAGTATAGTGGTGTGATCATGTCTCACCGCAGCCTTGACTTCACTAGGCTCAAGCAATCTTCCCATCTCAACCTCCCAAGTAAGTGGGACTATAGGTGCATGACACCACACCTGGCTAATTATTGTATTTTTTGTAGAGGTGGGGTTTCACCATGTTGCCCAGGTTGGTCTTGGACTGCTGAGCTCAAGCAATCGCCCACCTCCGCCTCCCAAAGTGCTGGGATTACAGGCATGAACCACCACACCCAGCTGGCCTCTGTTATTTTCATAAACTGTACTTTTGCTTACCTTGAGATAGGAAGCCAATTTTCCATCCAACCATTAGATACTGTTAATCTGTAGCTTGGTCATGTGGTTTGGTCCATGGAATCGTGTGTGGAAAAAATAACCAGTACAGTGTAGAGCAGTACACACAATGAAGAGTACTGCCTACTGTGTGTAGCCACAAGCCAAATACATTAGTAAAGTTGACATAATGACTAGAGCACACTTAATTGCTAACATTTGGATTACTTTAGAGGCTTTGGAAATAGTGACTGGTAGTATTATTAAAGACTTTTTTTTGTCCCAAGTTTCATTAATATTTCCTACACTGCAAAATGTCAGCACTTTGTTAACGAAAGGAAAATATTTTTGCTTATTCTAACCCAGCAGAATCTGAAAAGGGGATTTTAGGATCCAAACATTTGGTAATAAAGACATAGACCACCAATTTTAGGAAGACTGTTTCTATTTTTTTAAATTAATTAATTATTATTATTATTATTTGAGACAGAGTCTTGCTCCATCACCCAGGCTGGAGTGCAGTGGTGCGATCTTGGCTCACTGCAGCCTGGGTTCAAGTGATTCTCGTGCCTCAGTCTCCTGAGTAGCTAGGATTACAGACATGTGCCAACACGCCCGGCTAATTTGTGTATTTTTAGTAGAGATGGGGTTTCACCATGTTGGCCAGGCTGGTCTTGAACTCCTCAAGTGACCCGCCCACCCTGGCCTCCCAAAATGCTGGTATTACCAGTTTGAGCCACTACGCCTGGCCTGAAGACAGTTTCTTAAGAAGTACATTTCTATTTCTAATTTTAAAATTTAGCATCTTTAAGAGTGCAAAGGGGTAAAATAGTCCTACACATCAGGAAAGATGACATAGGAAAATAGAGCAAAAGAGGTTTAAGTTAAACAGAAATTATATCCCCAAATTAAAGTATTTAGAAAGAGGTAAGCACATTTAAGAAAATAATAAGCCAACTGTTATCCTGATTCAGCTGAACCTACCATTTGTGAGAACAAGAGGGAGCACTGTGTTGCAGTGAAAAAACAAACAGAATGAACATTCATTATATCTTCCGAATATTGTCATTATACTCGGACCAGAAGGAAGCTTCTTGAAAACGTAACAGGCTTTTGTCGTTTATGCTGGGACTTGGAATTAGAGCACTGAAGTTCTGGTTTCAAGTTGGCCATGCCATGTATTGTTATCTTGGACAAAGTACTATACCTCTCTGACACCAGCTTTTATCCTTAGATTATTTTGAAAATCAAATGAGACAAAGATATGTGGTACTTGAGAAAACCTTGTAAAGTACTCTAAGATATTCAGGGCTATCACTTTATCATGTAATTTTCATTTTGGTTTTTAAATAGCATAATTGAGTTATTTGCTATTTAGCAAATACTTAAATTTTGTTTTTGAGGGAAACCTTGTTCATTTTGCTCAGTGGCAGTAACTTCGTTTGTAACAGCACATAAAAAACTGGTTGCAAAGTGGAATAGATTAGCATGCAGGATGAAGCGCTGCCGGGCTTCTGACTTGGTGAGTTGACTCCCACTGATGGTATTCAGCTAGCTTGAGTGACAAGGGGCCATTGGTGTTACTTTCTGAAAGTAATTTTGTAAGCCCAGAAAAGGAAGTATTTCTTTCCAGAAGTTGTAAGTTATAAAAGTCCCTTTCAAACTCTGACGTGCTTTAAATAGTCACGATTTTTGTCCTGTAATTTCTAGAGAATAAAATACCTTTAATTTAAAACATCTTTTGACTTAATTACCTTTCTCTTTTTTTTTTTTTTTTTTTGGCCCTCTTCTTGATGTTGGAATAAATTTTTTTACCTGGGAGTTGGATACATCAAGAGTCACATTTTCTTTCTTTTTTTGGGGGGGCGGGGGGGAGGGAGGGAGGCTCGCAGGGTGGGGCGGGGGAGGGCCACAAAGAAAGAAAGAGAAAGAGAAAGGGGGAGAGAGAACAGGAGTCTTGCTCTATTGCCCAGGCTGGAATGCAATCTAAAAATAGGTATTAAAAACCTCTTTTATGCCTATAATTGTACTTAACAGCGGAGACAGGAAGGAATAAGGGAAGAAAATAAACAAACAGCCAACCAGTATTTCATTTAAATCTGTGAAATGCTATGCAAATGCTGAAGAGTGATTTACTTCTATTTATGTGGTCACTTTCAAAATAGGTGTAATGCGATACTGAAAAAAAATGTATGTTCTGTGCACCTGGGGTGAAGAATTCTATAAATATTCACTGAGTTTACTTGTTCCAGGTCTGAGTTCAAATCATAAATGTCCCTGTTAATTTTCTGTCTCGCTGATCCATTGAATATTAACAATGTGGTGTCAGAGTCTCCCGCTATTATTGTGCGGGAGTCCAAGTCTCTTTATAAGTCATTAAGAACTTGTCTTATGTAGCTGGGTGCTCCTATATTGGGTGCATATATATTTATAATCATTGGCTCCTGTTGTTGCATTGATCCTTTTACCATTATGTGATGTCCTTCTTTCTTTCTTTTAGTCTTTGTTACTATTAAAGTCTATTTTGTCAGAGACAAAAGTTACAATTTTTCCTGTTTTTTAATTACCTTTCTCATGCTAAAATAAAATTTGTTATGAGAACTTTTTTTTTGCATTATGCAGATATTTTGAAAAACAGTTTGAACTGTCAGAACAAACAAAATTACCAATGTTTCTTCACTGCCGAAACTCACATGCTGAATTTTTGGGTGAGTTAAAACTAGTCTCATTTAGAATTTAAGAATCTTGTAGAAATCAAGCTATTTGCTAAAAGTTCTTTGTTTTTAATTCACAGACATAATGAAAAGAAATAGAGATCGATGTGTAGGGGGAGTGGTAAGTATAAAATAGTCATTTTTAATATAAGTCAAACATCTCTAATCCAAAATCCAAAATACTCCCAAATCCAAAATGCTTGAAAATCTGAAACTTCTTAAGCGTTGACATGAGATAGTGACACCTTTGCTTTCTGATGATTCATTGTATACAAATTTTGTTTCATGCACAAACTTATTTAAAATATTTACCTTCAGGATATGGTATAAGGTGTATATGAAAAATAAATGAATTTCATGTTTAGACTTGAGTCCCTTCCCAAAAATTTATTTTTATGTATATGTAGATACTCCAAACTCTGAAAATATCTGAAATATGAAACACTTTTGGTCCCACACACTTGGGATAAGGGATACTTAACCTTTAGGTGACACACAGAGCATCTTGGTTATTAAGGATGGCCTCTAATTCAGATGTCAACATTTCAATTTTTTTAAAAAGGAAAAAAAGAAAAACATATGACTTAGGTAGAATTCAATAGAATTAGGAGCTTCTTTTCCCGTTTTTTGAAAGACATGTAAATTTACTGTTGAATTTATGGGCCAGATATGGTATAAACACAAATCAGTTTTAGTTTTAGTTCCTTTGTTCAAAGTACAAGAATGAGTACAGAAGTCCGTTCACAAGGAAACCCTGGGAATTCTTTTTTTTTTTTTTGGTTATTGAGACAGGGTGTGGCTCTGTCATGCAGGCTGGAGTGCAGCGGCACCATGTCAGTTGACTTCAACCTCCACTTCCCTGGGCTCAAGCCATCCTTAGCCTCCTGAGTAGCTGGGACTACAGGCACATGCCAACATGCCCAGCTAATTTTTTGGTATATTTTGTATTTTTTGTATATTTTGTTGCCTAGGCTGGTCTGGAACTCCTAAACTCAAGTAATCGGCCCACCTTGGCTTTCTGAAATATTGGGATTAGAGGTGTGAGCCACTATGCCTAGCCCCTGAATTCACATCTGTACATCCTAGTACTGTGCATGATATTCTTCATCTCTTCCATCAGCCATTCTTTAATGTTCTTCCATCCACATTTTGAGCAAAATATCAACTAATTTTTGTTTTGAAATTTTTTGCCATTTGTTTTAGGTTTGCCTTCCTCATTTCTTGTCAGCTGTATTCACCTACAATTATCATTCTGATCTACAGTCATTCTCCTTTCTGTAATTTGCATTCTGCACTAAACACTTCTCTAATATAGTCATTTTCGTCATTATTCTGGAGACATTTCCCATAAATATTATCTGCTCACCACTGACCTCATATACCTATGGCAGTGATTTTTAATCTCTTGGATCATGGACTCCTTTGGGAATCTGGCTTAGAAAAATGCTCAGATATACAAATACTCACATGCAATTTCAGGAGAGACTTAGTGAGTGGCTGTGTCTAGCAAAGTACCGTAATCCAGGTATATCAAATCACAGTTACACTATGCCAGCTGTGGAAAGAGGAAATGGCACCGAGCACCTGCATTCCTATGCTGCCCGACGTTGAGAGTTTTATGCATATTCTCTCAGTTTTCAGCCTCTGCCTCATTTATACCACTAGTAATATGATGCATCCTGTATTGCTGTAGTGTTAATATTACTGTGTATTTTTTTCCTGTTTTTACTGACTCTGTAATTTATCCTCTAGGAGCTGTACTTAAGAATCGAGAGAGATTTGAGTTTTAACTAGTGCCCTTGGGATTATTAGTGGTATTTATCATAACCTTCAGACTCTACCTCTCAGCTTATTTGCTTGCTTTCTTTCTTTCTTTTTTTTTTTTTTTTTTTTTTTTTTTTTTTTTTTTGAGACAGAACTTTGGTCTGTCACCCAGGCTGGGCTGGAGTGCAATGGCACAATCTCAGCTCACCAAAACTTCTGTCTTCCGAGTTCAAGCAATTATCTTACTTGAGCCTCCCCAGTAGCTGGGGCTACAGCCATGCGCCACCACACCCAGCTAATTTTTGTGTCTTTAGTAGACACAGGGGTTTCATCATGTTGGCCAGGCTGGTCTTGAACTCGTGACCTCAAGCAGTCCACCTGCCTCGGCCTCCCAAAGTGCAGGGATTATAGACGTGAGCCACTGCACCCAGCCGATTTCTAAATAAGAATTTACATGGGTTCTATTAATAGTTTTTAAAAATGAACAGAAGCAACAACAAATCTAACCTAAATGTTTTGATTTTTATCAAAAAGGAAATTGCCAAATAATTTATAACTAATTTTCTGAAATGGCTTATGAGGAATCACATTTAAAATTATTTTGATATTAATGGAGGGTATCTTTTCTAGTCAGCTGGAAATGCTGAAGGAAAGAATAATGCAGGCAGCTGTGTAATGCAGACTTCTTTATTGTTGAGAAGTGTGTTATCCACAGTGTATTCAGGGTCTCTGGGCTCAGTAGCAATGTGACATCACTTGTTTAGGTGACCCTACTTTTTAAAGATGGGTGGTGGTTGTTATATGTTGTTTTTGATTACATAAATACATCCAAACTATGAAAAACTGTATCTTGACTCCTATACTTTTGAAGAAAAACACCATCTGAGTCTTCTGCCTGCTAAGCTGATATTATTGATTATATAATGGTTTGTGCTTTTTAAGCAACAGGCTCACTCATTTATAAGAATTTCTTCAGCCTTGCCTCTTAAAAGTGATTTCTTTTCTAGCAAAAAGTATCCTCTAACAGAAAATTCATCAGTATTTTAAAACATCTTTTAAATGGTGCGATAAAATTTCTAAGCTTTCCTCATGTTTTTGCCTAAGAATGTGTTTATTCCTGAGCCCCTTCCTGGAGCTTCTGCACTTATGCTAGTGCAGAGACAGCAACGCTGTCACTGTCAAGAGAAATTCTAGGCAGCTAACATTTTGCATCATGTCACTGGAGATGATGACAGGTTATAATTGGGAAATCTAATACAAAATAAAAATTAAAGGGGCTACCACCTTTGAAACCCTGAGGTCCAAAAACTTACAGGGATCTCTATTTTTGTCTACGTCTTATTAATGTTATTTAGAATTTTAAAGAGTAACTATTATTATAATAAAATTACCTGTGTGTCCCCAGGTGCATTCATTTGATGGTACTAAGGAAGCAGCAGCTGCTTTGATTGACTTGGACCTTTATATAGGATTTAATGGTTGGTACGTTCTTAGGTTGTTTTGTTTTTATTTAAGCAGATTTCTTAAAATTGTTTTATAGTGAATTGCTGATGAAGATGTATTTTCATAAAGTTTTGCATTGATCTTTGCCTGGTAATTTCAGTAATTATGTAAGAAATTAAACAGTATGTTACTATTACAATTTAAAGCTCGAAAGTTACAGACTACTACCCATGTTCTAATAATGGAAAACAATTTTGTGTTGAGATCAGCAGCTAGCTTTCTCTAGTAATCCAATTTATTCTCAGGTCATTTGATCCCTTGAAAACATGAGTTCACAGCATTATATATACATATGCACATGTCATGTCTGACTATGGGCGAAAGGCTATTTTATGACAGTCACACATCTCTCCAGGCAAAGAAACCAAGGCTCAAAAAAATCAGGAAACAGGTATAGAGTTTCTCCAAGTGTGAGAACCTATGTCCTCTGGCTCCTCATTCAGTGACCTTTCTGCTGCAAAACCACACTAACCACACACTCAAACAGCTGGCACAGCTAGGTCCCTGGGTTTGTTTTGTCAAATATGTAAGAACTTCTACCAGTGTCTTTTCACAGGATGTCAATGTCGCCCATTAAATCAGCTGCAAAATAGTATAAGACTTTGTTCTTCTTCATTGTCTCCTACCCTTAAAATTATTTCCAACTGCATTACTTTTGACTAAAATCTAAGGAAATAGAATCATGGAAATATGTATTTGCTCTTGAGTTCAGAGTTTAAATGTCATAGATGCCTTTATATTTAAATTAATGGCCAAATTAACTTTAAAATTAATATGCAAGGGAATATATGCAGAGAGATTAAAAAGTCAAGTAGTACTAACAGATATGAATAAATATCAGAGTCTCCCCAGCATGACCCTATCATAAGTCAGTTTTTCTGGCAGCAACAATTTTGCTATTTGTCGCCATATTTCTAAATAATATCCGTATACTATTGTCTCTTGATTCATCCCTTTGGCTACTCTCATTGGGGTATATGAGAACATTCTTATAACCCATACTAATCCCCTGCCTCCATTATTCTCTCCATATCACTCTCAGTGTAGTTATTTCAGAATTTTTGGTTATATGTATACTCATGTTTTCATTATTATGTCTATATAAATGTTTTCTCATTATTATGTCTGTGTTTTCTCATTATTATGTCTGTATAATATATAATTTCACAGGGCTATGCAAAGTGTGAGAGAGTTTCAAGTTTTTTGTTTGTTTTTAAGACAGGGACTTGCTCTGTAGCCTAAGCTGGAATACAGTGGCATAATCACAGCTCACTGCAGCCTTGACCTCTCTGGCTCAAGCAGCCCTCCCACCTCAGCCTCCTGAGTAGCTGGGAATACTGGTACTTGCCACCGCACCCGGCTATTTTTAAAATTTTTAGTTGAGACAGGGTCTTGCTATGTGTCCAGGCTGGGCTTCAAGTTTAAGAAAGCCAAGTAAATAAAAATATGAGGGAAGTTACTCCAGGGAAACGAAAAGTGGTACGAGAAAAGAAATGTAAGCACTATATAACACATGAGGAAACCTATCTAGATAATCTAACAGTTGCGTCAGTTTCAGACCCTTCCATCATTCTCAGTTTGGACTAGTGTCTCTTCTGTGATAGAGCTCCTGTTTTTAGATCCCATGAATTCCTTGTGTGTTTGTTTTAGTGGAACACATTCTATAACACCCTCTGAGGACGTTTTCATGGGAATGAAGTTTCTTGAAATTGTTCATGTTTGAAACTGAATTTTGTTTCTACTCTTCCTCTTAAAAGTTAGCCTGGATAATTAATGAAAGGGGAGAGAAGCCCACTTTCAACTTAGTTTCTCTGTGCATAAAATTCTAGATCAGAAATCATTTTCATTGAGAATTTATACTGTCCTATCAGTAGGTTTCAGTGTTTATGAAAAGTCGCTACTGATTCCTAATCATTTACCTGTGACCTAGTTTTCTTCTCTCGTGAAAGGTTTTAGTTTTTCATCTCTGATGTGAAATTTCATGAAGATGTGTGTTGATGGTGTTTGTCATGCCTCATTTGCTCTTTCACTAGTCCTTCCGGCAGGGGGCTTATCTTTACCCATCCTTGGAATTTGAATTTTCTTTTCTGTTCTCTCTTTGGGCATACCAGACTGATAACTCATATCCTTTTTATTCTATTTCCATTGTTTCCCTTCTTCCAAAGAAAGTGCTGTATTTTGAAACCCTTTTTATGAAATTTACTTCAGCTTTTGTTTTCAATTTCTGAACACTGTTTTTATACTGCAGTATCTTCTGATCTCTCTAAAGACCTGAATTATAGTTTAAAGTTACTTTCTGCTTGTCTTCCTGTATTTATGTCCTCCAAAGTCCCCTTTTCTTCTTTGCTTTGGTCTCTGTGATGATGGAAACTTTCCTCAAATGTCAGGCAATCCTTTGCTGTCGATTTTTAAAAAGCCATTTGGCTGGGCACAGTGGCTCATGCCTGTAATCCCAGCATTTTGGGAGGCCAAGACAGGAGGATCACTTGAAGTCTGGAGTTTGAGACCAGTCTGACCAACAGGGTGAAACCTTGTCTCTACTAAAAATACAAAAATTAGCCGGGCGTGGTGGCTCATGCCTGTAATCCCAGCTACTTGGGAGGCCAAGGCAGGAGAATCACTTTTATCCAGGAGGCAGAGGTTGCAGTGAGCTGAGATCAGGCCATTGCACTCCAGCCTGGACAACAAGAGCGAGACTCTTAAAAAAAAAAAGAAAAAGCCATTTGGAAGCTCTCTAGAAGGCATTCCAGTAACTGGCAGGCTCAGATGGCCAACTGACTTTTTACTAGGGATTCCCAAATGTCATTGTGTAGAGATCTTTTTCTGGGTTGGTTTAGTTTCTCCAGAAAGGCATCCTCTGTTATCTGCTGGAAAAGTGGGAACAGTGGACGGTAAGGGTTTGTAAATGTCCCTGACAGTGTTTTGGAGCAGGATGGGTTAGAGATCTCACTGTTTAGTGGGCTGTCCTGGTCTCCATGATCAGGCCTGTACCTGACGCCTGTGCTCCTCTGTGCTTATTCTCTAGCTGTTTCTGATGTAGGTTCTCTTGAGACCCAGCACCCCTTTCTCTGCACCAAGTCACAGATATATAACCTAGGAACCCCATCTTCTCTTGGGGTATTTTCAAACAATTTCCATTCAAGTCCCTGCCTTACTCCACCTTTCTAGGGACTGTATCTACTTCTAGGTTTCTTGTCTTTCTCTCCAGGCACATAGCATATAAGTCATTTGGTACTTAAACACTGGTCGTTTATCATTTCTCCGTCCACTTTCAGCTTTATATGTTGTGATTTGGGGTAACATATGCCTCCTAGTTTCATTTAAAAAATCCTGGTTTTCTCCTTGTAAGTTTGGGGGGTTTTTTTGTTTGTTTTTTTTTTTTTTTTTTTTTTGTTTTAAGAGAGGGGGGTAGAAGATCTTTATTTCATCAACTTAAAACCGTAATTCTTGGATTTTTTTTTTTTTTTTTTTTTTTGAGATAGGGTCTCACTCTGTCTTCCAGGCTGAACGACTCACTGCAGTCTCAACCTCCTGGGCTCAAGCAGTCCTCCCAAGTATAATAGCTGAGACCACAAGCTCCCATCACCACACTTGGCTAATGTTTGTCCTTGTTGTAGAGACAGGGTTTCACCATGTTGCCCAGGCTGGTCTCAGACTCCTAAGCTCAAGCAATCTGCCTGCCTCTGCCTCCCAAAGTGCTTGGATTACAGGCATGAGCCACCTTACCTGGCTCCTTAGATATTTCTAAATGATCTTGAGTTTATGATGATGTTGCTTTAAGCTAATCACAAAAGATTATTTTATCCTACATTAATATTAGCTTCAGAATTAATAGATTAGTCGTTTATTAAAGTGGATGCTTATATTCTTATTTTGAAATCTAATTCATTGTCATCTTAATCTGAGTCTCTGAGGTATGATGACTTAGTCTACTTATAGTAGCATATCACATAAAGTCTTTGGTTTCTAAAAGTTAAATTAGAATTTTTCCCCCAAGAAAATGGGAAAATACATTTCAAACTTGACTTCAGAATATGTAGTTGCTCATCATTAAATGGGAAACCTTATTAAATAGAAATACTGGCTTCTATTTAAAATATTTCTTTTATTAGTATATATATATTTGGGCAAATTTTTATAGGTATGGAATAGACATAGAAAAATATTAAGTTAATCAGACATGATTTAGTGAGATCAAAAATACAAATAATCTGATAATTTGGTGAAAAGTTTTTAGTATCCATAGAAGGCACACCAATATATTTTAGAAAATATCCATATTGACCAAGTATTAGGCAAAAATCTTTTCTAGAGAGCACTGATTGCTGCTTAATGTCAAACTAATGACATGCCACCCACACCTAAAATCCTTTGAAAATAAAATTATAGATATTGAAAAAGGAAAGAACCTATAATGGCAAAGAAAAAAGGCCAGAGTTTTGCTAATAAATGTTTTGTAGCTGGGTGAGCCCAGGAGGTCAAGTGATACTCCTGACACAGCATCCTCAATAGCTAGATCTATAGGTGTGACCCATCTGGGCAACGTAATGAGACCCCCATCTCTTAAAAAAAAAAAAAAGAAAAAGAAATGATCTGTAGATTTCTGAAGACAGGGGAAACTGGAAGAGAAAGCTTAGATTACACCACTAAGGGGCCTCAGAAGGGATGGGAGCAAGTCTAGCAAACAAAATCCCATAGCAAGGCTTTGGGCTTAGAATTAGTATAAAATAGGAGTACAAAGGATGATTAATTGAGGACCTATATAGAGAAAAGATCTCCCTCACATATCCACTCCTGTGCATAGAGGACAAAAGCAGTAAACATTTACACAGGGGCTTGGGGGGATTTTTTTCTTAAGAAAATTGAACAAACTGTATGGTGAGGGAGGCTTGGAGTGTTTACATCAACCCTGTAGGAAAGCACTTAGAGAACCATGACCCTAACGATTAGCTCCCTGTACCTTTAAATGAAGTTTCATAACATACCCTCTACCACCAGAAGGTCCCTCTAAGAATCCTCACTCAGAGAACAGAACTGGCAGTAATACAGGCCTGCTTTCACAAAAGCAAATGAAATGCAACAATAGCAACCTCCTTAAATATAAATGGATATCCAAGGATCACTAGACAAATGAGGTGACCCAAAGTATGAAAGAAAAAGGCCAAGATAAACAGAAAAACTAACCCCAGTGGAAAGCGACCCAACATAGTAAGATTTGAGATGTTAATACATGAAATATGAACAGAATGCTAAAAGAACATAAAAGAATAAGAGCTCCTTAAAGATTAAATGGTGATGTTAAAATAACAGCACCATTGGAAGAAACCAGGGAATCAACACATTTGACAGAAAGATATATTTTTTTCTATACAAACTACATATATTTGAGCAATCAAGTAGTAGACATACAGAATTTTCTTTATATGGAAGTACTCTAATAAGTGAAGGACTGATAGAATTATTTCAAGATTTTGTAGCTCCTGGTGAATTAGGCATTGGGCATCCATGGTCGCCTTATATCACAACAATACAACCAGATATATGTCTGTGGATGAAAGATCATACCACCACCTATGAAATAGTCTTACCCAAAAAAAAAAAAAACAAACACCCAACCCAAATCCAATCCAGCCTGTAGATGGTACTCTAGAACTCCTAAAAGAAATACAGAGGGCAGAGGAACCTGTTAAACTGCGACGCAGATAAAGTCAGCAAAATGAAAACTCCACAGGGTGAACAGCCTGGTTTCTTCAACAAAGAAATTTGAAGGGTAAAAAGATGCAGGAGATTGTAATAACAACGTTGAGACTGTAGAAGACAATGACCAATTGCAATGTGTGGGCCTCTCATTTGTGTCCTAATTTAATCAAACTTAAAAAGAATGTATGGCAGTGAGACAACTGCAAATTTGAATGCTGGAAGATTTGGGTTTTTCTTAGACATGTAGTAGTATTGTGGTTGCATTTTTAAAGAAAATCCTTATGCTCACAGACACATGCTGAAACATCCTGAATTAAATGCTGAAATATTAAAACTGTACATGGATGGAACAGGATTGGCCATGTGTTGTTGATTGATAGAGCTGGGTGATAACTATATGAGATTACCCAATTCAATGTATATTTTAAATTCCTTACAATAACAAATGCGGAAATTAACACTGCTACATAAGGAAGCAACCAAGATGTTCCTCAGTAAGTGAATGAAGGAATAAACTGTGATATATCCAGTGGAATATTATTCAATGTTAAAAAGAAATGAGCTGTCAAACCCTGAAAAACATGGAATTTGATTGTGTGTTTCCAAGTGAAAACAGCCTGAAAAGACAACGAACTATATGATTCAGACTATGTGACATTCTGGAAAAGGCAAAACTGTGGGGACTGTAGAAAGATAAGGGGGTGGAGGGGAAGGAGGGATGAATAGGCAGACCACAGATTTTTAAGACCGTGAAACTACTCAGTATGATAACACAATGGTAGATACACGTCATTGCATATTTGTCCAAACCCACAGAACACATAACACCAAGTGAACCCTAATGTAAACTCTGGGTTTTGGGTGACATTTTTGTGTCAAGGTAGGTTCATCAATGACAAATGTACCTACCACTATGGTGTGGAATTAGGAGAGTGGGAGCATATGGTTGGGGAATCTCTATACTTTTTATTTAGGTTTTTTTAGTAAACGTAAAACTCTTAAAAATTATTTTAAAATTTGTGATTACAAAAATTTTGTTTTTAAAGTAATTTAAGAACAGTATTCGTTGTTATCACATTATATGGTACACCATCCCAAACCTGACTGCCACATTACAGGAAGCATTTATGTTCACATTCATGGGTCTTTGAGTCAGCAGGGTTTTGGCTGATAGAGGCTGCCACAAGCAGCCATAGCAGGACTTGAGGCCAAAGCCAGATTCAAGGAATAGAATTCATCCTACAAAGAAACCATGGCAAGGGTGCAGACACATAATTCGGCTAGAGTGAAGAATCTGTCTTGGGCTAAAAATGGAAAATTCAGGAAATGAACGTTAACAGCCTTATGAGCACCTCTAAGTTACGCAAATTACTCAGAAGCAAATGAATTCTTTTAAAAAGTTAAATTTTACTTAAACCGATACAGAACACTATTGGAAATCAACTGTAAAGCATGGAAAATTGCATTTCCAGAAGGCAGATCGGGTTAAAGTAGATTTTAATCTGGATTGTTGAAGTATGGGAGTGTGCAAATACTTTCTAAAATATACTGAAAACAAAATGTTATGGGGTTTTGGGTTGGTTTTGTAATATTTTAGACAAGTTGTGATATAAAAAAAGGTATTAATTGCTGCCTTTTTAAATAAATATATGTATACACTTTTTTAAAGCTCACTGAAAACTGAAGCTAATTTGGAAGTTTTGAAGTCAATTCCTAGTGAAAAATTAATGATCGAGACAGGTAAGTTTGTTTTCAGAACTTTAAGTTTCATATTAAACCATGCCAAAAAAAAAAAAAAAAAGTTAGAGAAAGAAATTAGACTTCAAACCTTAGTGAATAAGTATTTTGAAACAGCATGCTCAACTTCAACAGTTATGCTTTCCAGAAGATCTTTGGGGGTTATTAATTAATGGAAAAACATATGCAAATGACTTTTTTCAGTTTTAGAAGTTTACTGTATCTAAGCACTTAAAAAATGAGATGTCAGAATATAACTCAGGAGGTTATAGTTAAGAATATTTAGTTAAACAAGTGGTCTTGACTAAGCACATCACACTTTCAAGTTTCAAAATCTGTTCAGAATTTTGTTTACAGTGTCTTTATAATGGCTTAATTCTGTAGTACTTTTTACAGTGCAAAAAATTAAATTGGTTTAGTATAAGAATTTTAGGATCTGTTGCCTGTTAAAATAAAACAAGGTGAAGCCAGATGCGGTGGCTCACGCCTGTAATCCCAGCACTTAGGGAGGCTGAGGTGGGCAGATCACCTGCACTCAGGAGTTCAAGACCAGCCTGGCCAACATGGTAAAACCCCATCTCTACTAAAAATGCAAAAAACTGGGCCAGGCGCAGTGGCTCATGCCTGTAATCCCAGCACTTTGGGAAGCCAAGGTGGGCAGATAACCTGAGGTCGGGAGTTTGGGACCAGCCTGACCAACATGGAGTAAATCCTGTCTCTACTAAACATTCAAAATTAGCTGGTATGGTGGCACATGCCTGTAATCCCAGCTACTTGGGAGGCTGAGGCAGGAGAATTGCTTGAACCTGGGGGGTGCAGGTTATGGTGATCTGCGATTGTACCATTACACTCCAGCCTGGGCAACAAGAGCAAAACTCCGTCTCAAAAAAAAAAAAAAAAAAAAAGAAAAATGCAAAACATTGGCTGGGCGTGGTGGCCCATGCCATAGTCCCAGCTACTCAGGAGGCTGAGGCACGAGAATCGTTTGAACCTGGGAGGCAGAGGTTGCAGTGAGCTGAGATTGTGCCACTACACTTCAGCCTTGGAGACAGAGTGAGACTCAGTCTCAAAAATATAGTAATAATAAATAAATAAAACAAGGTGAAAAGCTAAAACTTTTATTTAAACCCTATCAAGGCTTTCCTTATACCATGGACTTTAGGAGAGTCAAGACTGAGCCATTCTGGAGAAATCACATTCATTTCTTTGGGCAATTAGGAAAATAAAATGATTTGATTAAAAGTACAATACTTGTAAAATGTGTGAACTGTTATAGTTTTTTATTAAAAAATATTCAAAACCAGTTTCACAATCAGTAGAGGCAAGAGAGAAATGTAACTTATGCAAACCTCATTACGTGCATAGCAAAAAAATTTTTTAAAAACTGAAAAATGTATAAATGTTTTCATGTTATTATACAATTGTATTTAAGGTTTAGGTCTTTTTTTTTAAAGCATGCTTCACACCAGCATTAGCAGATAAAAGGAATAAAAGTGAGTCTTGGAAGGTATTTAAGATGCAATTCAAGATTTTATCTTGTGCTTTTTGTTAGAACTGTTTTCTGTTGCAATGATTGTGCTGTCTTAGGAGCTGAATCATGGTTTATCATTTAGAAGTTATGTATTAGTTTGATAATGGTCATTAAATTTTTTTTTTAACGTAAACCCCTTAAGAAACAGTTTCTTTGCTTACCTAGATGCACCGTGGTGCGGAGTCAAAAGTACACATGCTGGATCAAAATACATAAAAACTGCATTTCCTACCAAAAAGAAGTGGGAAAGTGGGCACTGCTTAAAAGACAGAAATGAACCCTGCCATATAATGTAAGTATTTTGCTTTCATGGTCTTCAAAATCATTAGTAAACCACCTGATGCCACTTACAAAATGAACTCAAGAGACAGAATTAAAATTCTGCAAAATCCAAGGGTAGTTCAGGTTCAGGACCACCGTATTAATGCAGTGATTTGGAGGAATTTTCATCTGAATTGATGTATCTCAGCTCCTCTTCTCCTATCTTCTCAACCCAACATGATTTTATTGCAGCAGTGAAAAATAAATGAGATTTTGGTCATTTTGTGGGAGAGAGAAAAGATCTTAAAGCTATCAATATAATCACCTTACCTGGTTTAAGTTCTGTTCTCACTGCAACTTCCTGCTACTCTTTGGTAACAAGAAAGCCTTAGCAGAATATTTTGCATTTAAATTATTTGACAGACTCTATAAATAACACATTTATTTAAGCCTCAGAACAAAAGGACAAGTGATAGGATTTCCTTTTTCCAATCAAAGGGGTAGGACTTTAGTGCATTTTATTTCCTAAAAAAGCAGCAAATCAGAATCTTTTAAATTGTGATGTATAGCATAGATGAGAAGAGGGGTTATTGCCCATCTATCAAAGAGCTGTTAAGGTAACTAGCAGGAAAAGGTTGTTATATCATTTTCATGGGCGCATAATCCAATTTCTTTTGTTTGCACAGATAGTTTAATCTAGATTATATCAGTCTTATATGATTTACCAGTTCAGACAATTGGTCATATTTATAACACATTCATAAAAACTAATTGGTTCTGTGTCTTCAAGAGGAGTAAAAAGAAAAAAATAGATTGTTGCTTTAAAGACTATTCATCCCATATGCACGATCTTTTAAGTAGTTTTTAATAGGAAAAGAGTATTAGAAGATAAGCCAGATCTAAAATCCAGCAGCTCAGAACAGTGAAGAATTATTCTATTACAATATGTTTGAAAGGTTATTTTTCTTTATTAACATGCTTGAGCTGGCAAAGACTTTAAAACTGAAGCAGCCTGGCATGGTGGCCTACACCTGTATACCAGCTACCTGGGGAGACTGCTTGAGCCCAAGAGTATCGAGATCAGCTCAGGCAAGATAGGGAGATCCCTGTCTCTAAAGAAATAAAGAAAATTTTTTAAAATGAAGAAATGTAAGTACTTGCAAATTCAGTCATGAGACAGTAAATAATTATGTATTTTTTGAGACAGTCTCACTCTGTTGCCCAGGCTGGAGTACAGTGGCAAGATCTCGGCTCACTGCAACCTTTGCCTCCTGGGTCCAATCAATTCTCCTGCCTCAGCCTCCCAAGTAGCTGAGATTACAGGCGTGTGCCACTACGCCCGGCTAATTTTTGTGTTTTTAGTAGAGATGGGTTTTCACCATGCTGGACAGGGCAGTCTCAAACTCTTGACCTCAAGTGATCCACCCACCTCGGCCTCCCAAAGTGTTGGGATTACAGGCGTGAGCCACAGCGCCCAGCAAATTATTTGGGGATCTAAGAGGACATTAGAGAAAAGAAACTGGTATTCTGCCAGCAGCCAGCTTACGGGAAGTAGTTGCCAACAGTATACCCGTCAGTTTTCTATACTACTTAATCTTATGTAAAATTATCACTGTTGACTTTAGCTATACATTTGCAAGACAAAATTTCAAGGTGTTTTTAAATGTAGACTGTTTAAGAACTGTGAAGGCTGGCCGGGCACGGTGGCTCACGTCTGTAATCCCAGCACTTTGGGAGGGGGTGGATCACCTGAGGTCAGGAGCTCGAGACCAGCCTGGCCAACATGGTGAAACCCTGTCTCTACTAAAAATACAAAAATTAGCTGGATGTGGTGGCGGACCACCTGTAATCCCAGCTGCCTGGAGGCTGAAGCAGGAGAAATCACTTGGACCTGGTAGGCAGAGGTTGCAGTGAGCCAAGACTGTACCATTGCACTCCAGCCAGGGTGACAAGAGCAAAACTCCGTCTCAAAAAAACAAAAACAACAAAAAACTGAAAGCTTCATGAATACCTGTTCTTCAGTTAGCTAAATAGGCAGAGCTTAGGAAAATTAGCATCTGCAAGCTGAAAAATTTTAAACCACATTTCAAAATACACAGTCCTCTAATCTACTGCTAATTATGTTGGCAAGTTAATTCCTACTTACAAAGTCACTTTTATCAACCTCCATTCTGTTAGCAATTTTATATTCTAATTATTTTTAGAGGGATCTTTTCGATATAAACTGTTTGCAACAGATGTTTTGGAGCCCCTGCCATATGTCAGGAAAGGTACAAGTTACTAAGGCTACACAGAAGAATCAAGACAGATGAATAGGCACACTGTGCCACCTGGCACTTTAGATAAGGCATTGAGTCAGGAAGGGTCCCTGCCCTCCTGGAGCAAATAAGCAGACAGTGTCCAAGATGGTAGTGCTGTTATACAAGTTGGAATATATGACCAGGACCATAGGGCACATCAGCTGCTTTGAGGGAAATAGGAGAGAGCTTTACCGAGGTGACATTTCAGTTGTTTACTAAGCATGACTGGGAGTTAAGCCAGAGAAAGACAAACACCTTGAGCAAAGGCAGACTGCAGAAGGGCTTGACTGATCCAGAGGAACAAGTGTGGCAGAAAGTAGGATGCACGGGGTAAGTGGAAGAAGTCTGGGAAGGTAGAGTGAGCCCAGATTGTGAGCGCTTTTATATGCCAAAATTTTGCTTAGATTTTATCATTACCCAAAGGATTTTAAGCAAGAGAGTGGCAATTATTTTTTTTAAAAGCTATAACAGGTATCAGTATGGAGAAGGGCTGGAAAGGAGATGGTGGCAGGAATCATATAGATCTTGCAAGACTAAAAACCTTTGCCTGGCCGGGGTGCAGTGACAAGTCTGTCAGCCTATGGGAGGCCTAGGTGGGCGGATCACTTGAGGTCAGGAGTTCAAAAGCAGCCTAGCCAACATGGCAAAACCCCCATCTCTATGAAAAATACAAAAAAAATTAGCCAGGCATGGTGGTGGGCGCCTGTAATCCCAGCTACTTTGGAGGCTGAGGCAAAAGAATCGTTTGAACCTGAGAGGCGGAGATTGCAGTGAGCCGAGATTGTGCCACTGCACTCCAGCCTGGGCCACAGTGAGACTTCGTCTCAAACAAAAAAATCCCACAAAAACCTGTGCCTACTGTAAAAGTGCTACATTAAACAAAAGCCACTAAATTCTCAGGGACATTAAACAACTTTATATTCGCTTTGGAATAACTGCAGCTTTGACCACTGAAGATATATGGAAATAGCATGGCTGCAGAAGTGTTATTCAAAGATTGCCATAAACTGCATTGTCACTTATCAAACAGTAAAATAGGATGTCCTGCGTTCCAATAGATTTTTTTTTCTTTTTTTTGGAGACAAGAGTCTTGCTCTGTTGCCCAGGCCGGAGTGCAGGGGAGTGCACTGGCACAATCTCAGCTCACTGCAACCTCCAACCAGTTCTCCTGCCTCAGCCTCCCGAGTAGCTAGGACTATAGGTGTATGCCACCACACCTGGCCAATTTTTTGTTTTAGTAGAAACAGGGTTTCACCGTGTTGCCCAGGCTGGTCTCAAACTCCTGAGCTCAGGCAATCCGCACACCTCAGCCTCCCAAAGTGTGGTGATTACAGGTGTGAGCCACCCCGCCTGGCCCCAATAGATTTCTTATAAGTAATTTCAATAAAATGAATTTGCTATGCAATATAATCTTAGCAAAGCGGCTGTGACCTTAAAAATTGTGTCATCAACAGCACTGATCAACAGTTCCAGTTCTGAGAAGTACATACAGAGGGACATTCGGTAGTTTCCTAAGAAAATTGGATTTTCACTGTCTTAATTTAAATGTTAATAGGTTTGCTTTTAGGATATTTTGACTTGTCAGATAAAAATTTAGTGTAATGTTTGCTTAGTATAAACATCAAGCAAGGTTTTTGTGTCACTATTACAAAACAATTTTTAATCCGTACAGAGCCAACAATTTTATTTTTAAAAAAAACAATTTTTAAAATTCCCATTAATCTTAAGATCCCCATCCTTAATTCCTTTACATGTTAACATTTAAGATACCCACTAAGGGAACAAAAAGCTTAGGCAAAAAATATTCAAATGTTCAATTTTGGCGTTGGAATTTCCTAATTCGTGTATTTAAAATATTCCACTTATATATAATACTGCTAGGAGACACTATGGATAATCATTATTTTAAGAACAGAAACTGAAAGATGTGGCTGAGTGCAGTGGCTCACGCCTGTAATCCTAGCACTCTGGGAGGTGGAGGCGGGAAGATCATGAGGTCAGGAGTTCAAGACCAGCCTGGCCAACATGGTGAAACCTTGCCTCCACTAAAAATACAAAAATAGCTGGGTGTGACAGTGGGCGCCTATTAATTCTAGTTGCTCGGGAGGCTGAGGCAGGAGAATCACGTGGACCAGGGCTGTGGAGGTTGCAGTGAGCTGAGATCGCACCACTGCACTCCAGCCCAGGTGACACAGTGAGACTCCGTCTCAAAAAAAAAAAAAAACCTGAAAGATGGATACCTGGGCTTACTTCTGTCTCTCTCTCTCTCTCTCTCTCTCTCTCTCTCTCTCACACCCTCACCCTCAATAACCACACATTTTTCCAAGTAAATATTATTTTTGCACCAACCTGATAACCTTCATTTGCTGTCTCTCAAGGACTAGTTCTCTAGCAGTGGCTTTCCAACTGTACCTGCTGTCCTCTAGTAGAAATTACATTGACTTAGGACACATAATAAAACCAAAAGAAAAATGGAACAGTACTTACTAAGTACAGTATACTTGTCAATTTTTAAAATGCTTATCATGATCCCCTAATGAATGTGCTGTGAGCCACAACTGAAAACGACTCTTCATTTCCACTGGGTTAATGCCGTAACTGTGGTGCACATCATACGGATGGCTGCTTTAATAATTTACTTGAACCTGGTTCTTAGCTCGAGTTATATGCAAGACAGTCCCATAAGTCTGTTTCTAGTTACTGGCAGTAAGTTTTTCTTGGTGTTGCTGAAAAACTTACAACTGTTAATATTATATTAAAGGTGCTCTAATATTTTCCTTTATATGGAAAAATATTATATGGCTTTAAAACAATGTGTACTTGGAGATTTAACCATTTTTGTTTTTGTTTTGTTTTAGTCAAATATTGGAGATAATGTCAGCAGTGAGAGATGAGGATCCACTGGAATTAGCGAATACACTATATAACAATACTATTAAAGTATTTTTTCCTGGAATATAATCGGCATATGTCTTCCACTTTCCATCATGTATGCAAAATTTCATAGTAAAACTTACTGATAGTTTCAATAAAGAAATTACCTGGAAGTTGTCTAAAGAAATACCATGTATCAGTAAACACCATTCCCCACCATTCCCCTTCTTTTTCTCATAAAATCAAATCAGGATGTTTTTATATCATTGAATACCTTATTTATTGTTTAAAACAATAAACAATAATACCTTATTGTTTAAAACAATAAAAACTTTTGTAATATCTTCAAAACAATGAAAAGATAATTTTATGACAATACTGTAGACACAGAATGGCTAACAAACCAATTTTACATTAAAAAAAATAGCACATTCTGATTTACATCAAAGTTTAGCCGATAGTTTATTTCTCAGCCCTCAGTCTGTGAATCATGACTTTCAGACTCAGCTCAATTACACTGCTACTCAACTTTCAGAAAAGTTCTTCAGTTGCTTCTGGCAAGCTCATTTTTTCTTTAGTTTTGAAATACTCTCTCATGTCCTTTATCCTCTGGTCAAATTATTTTATTTATTTCCTTGACTTTAATGCGGTTTCCTGATTTGTATTTTTCATTCTCCCACCCATTCTAAAGAAAAACTGAGGTCCAAAGTTAGATACACTATATAATCTCATTAAGAATCTTTGGCACAGTTGACGCACCACATGCATTACATCTATTAAAAAGCTATTTGTTCAAATTTTGTCATAAAAATGTGAAAACATTTTATTCTATGTACAATAATGTACACAAATTTAAACAGGTCACCAAAGAGACCAGAAGTAATTAAAGAGGTATATTTACAGTAGCACATCACAGTAAACGGAAAACCATTCACAGATTCAACATTGATACTGTTTTTGTGCTTGGTTACACACTGAAGGTGAAGGATATTACTCCATTTTGGATGAACTGAATTTTAAACAAATGCCTCAATGATTAATAAATGCTATTTTAATCAGTCAGTATCATCATTAAGTTCTTCAGCTGCTGTGCCCGTGTGCTGAATGACTCCGTTTCTTTCTCTTTGAACATCATCATCACAATCTGTACTGTCATCTTCGTTCAATTCCCTGTCAGATTCAGCAGCAGCTTCTCTTATAGGTTCCTCTGGATTTTCATTGGGTGCAATAAATCCATTGTTGTTAGATACATTTGCGTTATCTTTGATATCATCTTCGTTGTATACTTTTTGATGGCACATTGGACAAGTATCTTGAATGTACAGCCATTTCCGAAGGCAAAGTGCGTGGAAATAATGATTACATGGTGTAATACGAGCAGATGTTGTAAACTCATGATAGCAGATTGCACATACATCATCTATTTCTTGTAAGCGGCTACCTTTTATTTCAGGAAGTGAATTAATTTTCTTCACAGCAGTCCTACGATTCATGAATGTCTTCCAGCCATTTTTGGCTTGTAAGTAGATGTTAAAATATGCATGTAGGCACATCATAAAAGCCCGAATTTTACTTCCTGACTCAAACATCATAGTGTAAGCCCCATTTCCAAACATTACAACTCCAAATATAAATTCAATAATACTTCCTGTTGAACGAACGTAGTAGACATAATCGTCAAGCTTTTCCCAGAGGACATTATAGTAGCCGTCAATCATGAATAAGGTATAAACAGTGAGAGAAACAATTACTTTTAAGCACAGTTCCACACAAAATGCTGTAACTGCAAACAACCATGTATTTAGTGCATAGTGATGCCAAAGAACATAACTGAGTAAGACAGGAAGAATAAACAGGCAAGCAGAGACAAACAGCACAGGAAAATGTCTACGAAAAGATGACACATGAGAGGCACTGAGAGACATTAATACAGGGTCTGTCATTCCGTGGATGAAATGCAGGACTGCAGTTAATAGAAGGCACATGTTTCTACTTAAGCGAATAAGTCTCTCTTCTGGTCTTAGCCCACTTAACCCAGTCTGAAGAGCCAAAATAAAAAATAAAACTGGTGCAACAAAGCCAAGCCGCCTGTCATCTTCCTCAGTTGATCCAATAAAGGCCAATATTCCAAGCCCCAAATAATGGGCTACTGAGGAAATTACAGCACTCATGCCCAGCACAGTTAGTGTAGAATCACATCCACTAATTATAAGATTGCAAATGAGGTCCCAAAAATCATCCCAAGAAATAAAGAAGGAATCAGTTTCATTTGCCATCCTTAAGATGTACATTAACACTGTAGCCTGAGCTGTAACTCTTGTTAGCCAAAAGACTCGCAGTATGTCTGGGAAACGAATCCTCTTCCATGTGTCTTCCATCAATAACTGTAATCCATAAATTCGATACATGTGCCTCACTAAAAGATAAACATATCGTGTGGAATAATAAAACCACTTCAGTTTCACTGCCAGGACAAGCACTGTATTTAATGTGAGAATCAAGGAAGAGGTAAACACTAAAGTCTCTCTGACATGTAATGGTAGCTCTGTGATTAAACCTATTACAGGAACCAAGAGATCCAAAATGATTAACTGTGAATAGATGGAATGAATCTGGAGTAGTGTAATGTATCCAATTCCAAATGTTAGCTGTAGAACGATAACTGCCATCCATAGTGAGGGACCTTTTCGAGGAAGCAGCTCAATTCCAAAAGCTGATGTGTTGTAGCCACCATAGAAGTCAATGTGCAAAGAGGCATAGTAATTCACCAACACTGAAGTTGCAGCTAACAGAAAGGCTGAGCTGTACATGTAAAACTTGAAAAGTGATCGCTGGGACAAGATCAGAACAATACTGGATACAAATATACCTAAAAGAAAGAAAGAAAAAATCATTTGAATGAAGTATCTATAAGAATGTTTTCCCACTAATAGTTATGATATTCTTTAATTGGGAAACATGAGTATGTTCAGTACATTAAGCCTCAAGACAATTTAGGTTTAAAGGGCAATGAAGGTTTTGTAAAGTCAGAGTTCAAGAGGACAGACCAAACATACTAAATTCTTTTTTTTTTTTTTTTTTTGAGATGGTGTCTCACTCTATTGCCACGCTGGAGTGCAGTGGTGCAATCTTGGCTCACTGCAACCTCCACCTCCCGGGTTCAAGCAATTCTCCTGTCTTAGCCTCCCAAGTAGCTGGGATGACAAGTGCCTGCCACCACACCTGGCTAATTTTTGTATTTTTAGTAGAGATGGGATTTCACCATGTTGGCTAAGATGGTGAATTCTTTACTTCCTTCCTTTCTTTCTAAAATGTCCTTCCTTCCTAATTTCCAGATTAGTTCAAGTAACACTGTATATGCCCAAGGCACCAAATTACTAAATCATCTTTAAGATGAATTTGTAAAAGAATATGTCCTTCATCATTTGATAATCATTAAGATAATTTTAAAAATAAAGAGCTAAAAATAACCCAAATGAAAACCGTTTGTTCCTATTAAGTTTTTGATTGATTGAGACGGAGTCTTGCTCTGTCACCCAGGCTGGAATGCACTGGCACAATCTCAGCTCACCGCAACCTCTGTCTCCCAGGCTCAAGCAATTCTCCTGCCTCAGCCTCCCAAGTAACTGGGATTACAGGTATCTGCCACCACACCCAGCTAATTTTTGTATTTTTAGTAGAGACAAGGTTTTACCATGTTGGCCAGACTGGTTTCTAACTCCTGAGCTCAAGTGATCCACCCACCTCAGCCTCCCAAAGTGCTGGGATTACAGGCGTGAGCCACCATGCCCAGCCAAGTTTTAGATTTTTGGTTTAAAGCATTCTTTAGGAAATCAAGTTCAGGTTTTATACTTCCATCTAATTCTTCCTTTTCTTCTAGCTAAGTCATAACAGCTCTTACTTTGCCTGCTCTTTTACTCTGAGCATTCTTCAAAGGATCAAAAAATTCAGGGTTTTTTCCCTCCTACCTAGTTTCTTTCAGACTTAGAAACATCCTCCAAGTTCCCTTTTTCCTGTACAGTGCCGAATCTGTTTCTTAAAATAGTCAACTCTCTATTGTTCCTCACATAACAAAAGTAACACTCAGAAAACCAAGACATGTTTTTTAAAAAATGGTAATTCCCCCACTCCATAGCCACCATCTTTCTTTGTACTCTGACAGAAATGCATATTTTAAGTAGGATTACATAAACACGTTATTGTCCAACGTTTCAACAATGGGAATGACATCTAAATACTCACCAGGTTTCACTCCTACATTACAACTGCAAATCTCCAAAGTTCTAAAGCACAACTTGCCTTAAACTAGATTCGGCTTTTCCTTATGATTTGATATTTCAGTTGAAGGTACCATTATTAATCTCTTAGAGATACTCTAAACCCAACCCCACACACTCAAACTTTGCCAATTAGTTGCCAAATTCTAACATCTCCCTTTTCTGTGACACCAACCAATTAATGTCTCAAAAACAAAAAACAAAAACCTCATCTTGTCTAAATCCATCTACAAGCCATCACCAAATTGCCTTTCTTCATTCCTCTGCTCAAAATACTTCAGCAGTTCTGAAATTACTATCAACTAAAATCTACATTCCTGCTCCTGGCATTCGAGTATCCAATTCGCATTATAGTAATACTCCTCCTAACACACATACATCAATGCTTCAGACTTATGTTCCCCATAGGTATAGTGGTGTTTAGATTCTCTTTGCTTGGAATGATGACCCCACCAACTTCCCAATCCCTGACTGTTCAAATCCTACCTATCCTAGAAACCCACTTTCTTTGACAGAAATTCTTTCAGCATACCCACAGAACTTAGTGAAACACCTAACACTCATATGTCATCTAATATTGCAGTCTGTAGTTATCTAAGTATCATGTACCCTATTATACATGTATCTACAACAGAAAGCAAGGATCCTACCTGTCCATCTGTGGATCCTACAATAGTCTGTACAACTAAGTACAATTAGTATTCATGGGGAAATGTCTGTCACATCCGGTTATTTTTAAAGGCAACTACAAAATATAACCTGCTTGAAAAATAAAATCTATGAAAAAGACAATGAGAAACCATATCCTGGAGTACAGAAAAAGTGACAAACTCCAAATTAAAAATCGATCTATGGCCGGGTGTGGTGGCTCATGCCTGTAATCCCAACACTTTGGGAGGCCGAGGCAGGTGCCTCTTGAGGCCAGGAGTTCAAGACCATGTCAACACGATGAAACCCTGTCTCTTCTAAAAATATAAAAATTTGCCGGGCATGGTGGCACACGCCTGTACTCCCAGCTACTCAGGAGGCTGTGGCTGGAGAATCGCTTGACCTGGAAGGAGGCTGTAGTGAGCTGTGATGGCACCAACTGCACGTCAGCATGGGTGACAGTAAGACCCTGTCTCAAAATAAATAAATAAATATTAAGCAATAAAAAGTCCATCTATCCACCCTATTTCAGCAGGTAATCAAGACACTGCATATTATTACAGTGGATGCATTTCCCAATCCATTGCACATAAAAGCAAGGGCTAGTTCCTCTTTTTTTTGACACGGAGTCTCACCCTGTCACTATCTCGGCTCATTGCGACCTCTGCTTCCTGGGCATGCCACCATGCTGGCCAGGCTAATCTCGAACTCCTGATCTCATGATCCTCATGAGTCTCCCAAGTGCTGGGATTACAGACATGAACTACTGCACCCGGCCAGGCTAGTTCCTTTAAGTGATGATTCTGCCCAGGGATTTAAAATGTATCCTGTGCCAAAGTGTAAAGTCATTTGTGAAAAGGAAAACAAAAGGACACAATGAAGTAGAAGATACATAAACCTCTGAATACAAACCACCAGATTCCCCAAGCAAATGGGCCATTAATAATCTCCCAAAGAGTTGTGAGCTCAACAGGCTCTTTTAACAGAAAATAGATTTTATTTTTTATTAGACACTTCTTCCATGGAAGGTAACAAGGAAATGGAATTAATTCAGCCTTCCAGATGCCATATGTAACTTTATGTTCTCTGCATGGAAAACAACCTTATTTTTCCTGAGACAAAACTTTAAAACAAATCTTCTAAGTTGTCAGTCAAAGAACAAAATAATTCCTACCCAAAGTTTGTAGGCATAAGGAGTTCATAGATTTTTCTTTTATATTCATATTCCTACCTATGGAATTTGGGAAGAATCTGCTCTCATTTTAAAAGGCAACATCCCAAGTAACAAGTCTCCAAGTAATCATCTTTCTCATAGCCTTTACAGAATAATATCAAAATTTCATTGCATTTTTACATTAGACATGAAACTCTTTCTTGGTATTTATACTGTAGGTCTAAGAAAATATAAAAGTCCAGAGACAGGCCGGGCATGGTGGCTCACGCCTGTAATCCCAGCAGTTTGTGAGGCTGAGGTGGGTGGATCACGAGGTCAGGAGTTCAAGACCAGCCTGTCCAAGATGTCAAAACCCCATATCTACTAAAAAATTAGTTGGGTGCAGTGGCAGGTGCCTGTAATCCCAGCTACTCAGGAGGCTGAGGCAGGAGAATCACTTCCAGGGGCAAAGGCTGCAGTCAGCTGAGATCGTGTCACTGAACTCTAGCAGGCAACAGAGTGAGACTCTGTCTCAGAAAAAAAAAAAAGTCCAGAGACAGTTTCTCAGGATTTGGAAGTGACTTGGACAAGTAATCAAGGCTATGTCTAAATGCTGCTTTATAAAGAATTAAAACCTTGGGACACCAGAGAACAGAATTTACTGAAATCACAACTCAGAGATCTTGGTCCAGTTCTCCAGTGATTAAGAGAGTTTCAATAGAGTTTTCAAGGTAGTCAAAAAGAGATAGGTATCCAAATCAATTCAGGAACTTTGAAACTATATGTGAACTCAACTCATGAAAGAGTTCAGGCCTTTTCAATTTGGATTACCAAAAACAAACAAATAAAAACAAAGGAAAAAATAAAAAAACTTACCATGCATGTTACATAAGAAAGTGTTTCTCTCTTTTATGTGTAAAGTCCATTCATACCCTTACCCGCTTTTGGAAACTTGTGACTAAAAATCATGGTACAAAACATAGTATTTACAATTCTCCAAGTGCCCTAAATACCTTTAAAACAAAAATGTGGAAAAACATTTTAATACCTGACAGAATATGGAAAAGCATAGAAATAAATGTATTTACTACCTCACTCCCAAGGCAGCCTTAAGCAATGAAATTTACAACAAAGTAGTGTCTTGAAATGTTGTCAATCTGTTGGCATACTTGACAAATCATAAAGAAAAAATTTCTATTGGATTCTCACTTTAGGTAAAAAAAAAAAAAAAAAAAAAAAAAAAGTATGATAAGTATAGAACACAAAATTAAATTTTTGCTTTTAAACTACAATTATAACAAGTATGCTTTTATGAAAAATATATGAACATGGATTTTAAAAAGCCAAACCCTTCAGAGAGGTATTAAATGAAGAGTTAAAGCAAGTTTTTCTCGTCTGTCTTTCCCATCTGTGATATCATAAAAAATACATTAATATTTGGTCTTTGTCCCATTTTCTGACAAGGCTTCTAAAAATCCTTGGAATCTCTGGAGTGACTGTTTTGACAATAATCAGATGACTGGTGCCTAGAGGCCCCTAGATAGCTTCAGGATGGGTCTAGGCAGCCAGGAGAACCAACCCAGTGATTAAGGGTTATAACTTTCATTCCCACCCCCAGCCCCCACCTCTGGGAAGGGGAAAGAAGCTGAAGATTGAGTCCATAAACCAATGCCCGATGATCTAATCAATCATGCCTGTTTAATGAAGCTTCTATAAAAAGCCAAAAGGACTTAGTTTTGTGAGCTCTCAGATAGCTGAACACTGAAGCTCCATGCCCCTTCTTCTCCCCTT